AAAAAAAAAAAAAAAAAAAAAAAAAAAAAACAAGAGCAGGTGGGTCCCCTATAGAATCAGATAACTCCAGAAGGCTCTGCTGGATAAGTTGCCCAGTCCCATTTGGAGGACACCCCGGAATGGCCATCCCACATGCAGCTCATGGTCATCATAATGGCACTTTATAAAATGAGTTTTTTTTCTCCGATTATAAAATATAGGATCAGGGCCGGCCCGTGGCTCACTTGGAGAGCGTGGTGCTGACAACACCAAGCCAAGGGTTGAGATCCCCTTACTGGTCATCTTTTAAAAAGAAAAATAAATAAAATATAGGATCATTGTCCAAAAATTGAAAAATGCAAAAAGCACAAAACAGGAAAGACAGCCCCCGACAACCTCTCTTCCCTCCGCAGCCCCCCTCTCCTTCAAAAGAACTTGCCAAAGTTCTGGTTGATGAGTTTTCACAAACGGGATACGCCCCTATAACCACGACCCCAACATCCCAGATGCCCCTTTTGCTGTCTTCCAGGCACCATGTCCCCAAGGGTAACCACCCTCCCGAGCCTGACAGATAGTTTGGGTTTGCCTGTTTCTACTCCCATGAGTGGTATCGTAGAGCTTGTACCCTTTTGGGTCTGACTTCTTTTGCTCCATGTAATGTTTGTGAAATTGGTCTATGCTGTTGTCCCATTCATTTTTTTTTTTTTTTTGTGACCGGGAAGGGGATCGCAACCCTTGGTGTCCACACCACGCTCGGCCAGTGAGCGCACCGGCCATTGCTATATAGGATCCGAACCTGCGGCGGGAGCATTGCTGCACTCCCAGCCCCGCACTCTCCCGAGTGCGCCATGGGCTCGGCCCGTCCCATTCATTTTTAATGACTGCACCATATCTTAGCTTATGGGTGTATCTGTTTATCTGCAATGATCCCCTATCTTGGACTTTTAGGTTATTTCTCATTTTTCACGAATCAGAGTATATAGACTAAAAAAACCACACCATTTTAACAAACAGCATCCAGTCTTCACCAAGCCCAGAGGTACGGATCCTGCAGCTTGCAGGAAGCTGCACATAGAGTGTGTGAATCCCCATGAGACAGAGGGAAGGTATTATCCCATTTATCAGATGAGGATACTGAGGGTTGAGGGAATGAGGTGCGTGAACACCCCAAGAGGTAGGCACGGGCTCTGCTCAAACAGGGCTTCTGCTCGTGGTGCTGCTCCACGCCTCAGCCCTGATGGCCAGTTCCCTGGTGCCCAGGCTGAGTCCCTCCCTTGTTCCTGCCCATGCCAGGCTGTGCTCTGAATGACTCTCCCGTGGGACTGGCCGCCTACATTCTAGAGAAGTTTTCCACCTGGACCAATTCGGAGTTCCGTGACCTGGAGGATGGAGGCCTGGAGAGGTGAGTCCCCCACCTGCCTCTGCTGTCAGGACCCCGTCCAGCAGCCGCCTCCTTCATCTCCCTCTTCCTCCTCTCTGAGTGCTCTGCGTGGGGTGGTCAGCAAGTCCCATCTGTCATTGGCTTTCCCCCAGATCCTCACACGGTGATGAGTGTAGCTCCGTGTTTGGCTGAGGAGGTACAGTGACTTTCTCACAGCCTCCAGTGGGGTGGTTGGGGACAGGGTGCAGGGTTCCACGGCCTCCGTTCCCTATGCCAGACAGCCCCCTCCTGGGGTTGGGGAGGCCAGAGGGCAGCGAGCACCCATTTATTGCCAAGAGCAGCCAGGCCTGTCCTCCTGAACCCCTGGAGAGCCTGGTGGCATCAGGGCCATGTGACTGTGTATTCCATGAAAGCCAATCCCAGAGGGTGGCTGCAGCAAGGCTGGGGAGGCTGTCCCATCCCCGGAGCCTTAGAGGCTGCAGCCTGTGCACTGCATGACTCCCAGCTCCCTGTCCTGACCTGGCTTCTTTGAGGTCTGCACTGACCCACCTTCTCCAGGGCCTACCCTTTATCTCTTCAGTGACACACAGAGCACCAGACATGGTGGGGGGGAGGGGGCCATGGGGGGAGGGCGGGGAATAGAGAGTGAAACGGGATCCTGCCTTGGGGTAGGGGCTCTGCCTTGGCCGTGCTGTAGCTCCAGCACGTAGAACAGTGTCAGTCTCTCCCAGGTGCTCAGTAAATAGACGCTGGATGAATGAGCCCTAAATATACATGCAAAGGACTGGGAGACCAGAGAAAGGATCACAGGATTCTCTGTCCAAGGGACAGAGAGGGCAGATGACTGGTAGAGTGTGTCTGATCTGGGCCCTGAAGGATGAGGAGGAATTTGCCAGGTGGGGGAAGGGAATTTAGGGCAAAGAGAAAAGTAAAAACGTAAGGAGTGCTTGAAAAGGGTGACCTATCCAGAGGCTGGAGCAGGTACCTCGGGCCAGACCGCGAGCTCACTCCTCTAGGCGGATGCTCCAAGAGCCCCAGCAAGCCCCTACCTGGGACTGTCCCCCACCCCATGGTCGGCAGGACTCCAGGGTCGATGGAGCTTCATCAGGACCACCTTGGCAAGGAGGCTGGAGCCAGACAGGAGGTCCCACCAGACTGCCTCACTGGGCTGTGCCTGCAGCTCCTGCCCTGGGGACAGGGAGCACCAAAGCTGTGAGCAGGGCCAGACAGGACCAGATCTGCGTTCTAGAAAGAACACTAACACAGAAGGGTAGCATGGTTTTCACGCTGTGGTCGGAGCCGAAGGGGAGATGGAAATGCTTGGCCAGCTTGCCAAAAGCCAGTTCACAGAGTTGACACATTTATTGTTACTATTTAGTGTTCATTGACTGGTTTTCATTTTGCATCAAAATTGCATTTTAAAGGATGTTCGCTTTGTCTGTGTCCCTGCTCCCTGATGCTGTTGCTAGAGATGCAGCATTCCAGAGAGGAGCGACTAAGGGCTAAGACCGCATTCCAGGATACGAAGATGTCTAATGAATACTTTCTGCATTTCCAGGAAGCCCCTTTTGCACACAGTCTTCGTATTTCAGATTAACATGAATACCCTCCTTGGTGCCCCCCTCCCTGTTCCTGTCTCCTGCATTAGTTGGGTGCAGGGCAGAGGTGAATTAAACATTCCTTAAAATGTAGTTCTGGGGATAAAAATATAGCTAACCAGCTGCATCTAAGTAGCTGAAGTGAACAAGTAAATTCAGCATATTGGCCATTTTTGGTGAGTTGGCTTCTGATGAATCGACAAAGTCACCACCCCAGAGCTGAGGGGACAGGCAGGAGGGCCGAGCACATGCTCTCTAATTCAGGCGACAGTAACAGGTGCAAGACGTCGCTTGGACAGGAGGGTGGGAGTGGAGAAGCCAAGGCAGCCAGGGCTTGGTGAGGACAGGAACCGGGAAGCCTCCACGGTGACTCAGGGTCCTAGCTCGGTTGCTAGGGCATGGAGATGCCATGGGTCAAGCGGGGAATGGAGGGTGGGGAGCCTCCGTGCATGCATGTGTGCACGTGTGCGTGCGTGCATGTGTGTGTGTGCAAATGCGTGTGCACGTGGTGTCAGGGGAGGGGCTTGGCGGGGATGCCCGGCTCATCTGTCATGCTCATGTTGAGCGGGAGATGCTGGCATGTCCAGGTGGAGATGCGCACTTGGTAACTGGACCACAGACCTAGCGCTCAGGTGAGGGGTTGGATTAGAGGACGTGATGCCCGCTGAGTTAGAGCCGTGGGGTAGGCCTGAGAAATGGAACAGCAGCCCAGTGCTCCTCAGTGACACTATGACCGGGTCCCTCCAATCCTGGCCTCTCGGTTCACTGCCTCCTGGAGCTTGTGCGCTGGCTTCTGCGTTCCTGCCTCCAGGAGCTCCCAGTCCAGGCAGCCTCTGCGGAGAAAGTGCCCAGAGTCCCTGAGGATTCCGGGCAGTGGGAAATTCATTGCTCTAAAGAAACTGGGTCTCCCTGAGGGTGGGGCTGGGAGCGTGCATCCCCGACCCAAGCCGCCTGGGTTTGGATTCTCCACTCACCAGTAAAATGGAGATGATACTAGTACCTATGTCCCAGAGGTGGTTGAGAGGAACGAAAGCACATGAGGAGCTCAGAACACGCTGCCTCATACGTGCACAGCACTCTGTTACTGTCATTGTAGGAGCTGGTGACCCTGGGTCCAGCCTACCTGTGGCACAGGGATAATACCACCCACCCTGCAGCAAGGGCCAAGGAAGGGAGCCAGGCGGGCAGGGGCCTGGCACGTGTGCACAGCCCAAAATGGCAGCTCTGGTTCTTGTAGAGCTGCAGCTGGCACTGAGCAAGGCTTTGTCTTCTGCTTTTCCAGGAAGTTCTCCCTGGACAGCCTGCTGACCAACATCATGCTCTACTGGACGACAGGTTCCATCGTGTCTTCTCAGCGCTTCTACAAGGAGAACCTGGGGCAGGGCTTCACCCAAAAGCACGAGCGGTGAGCCCGGCTGAGCGCGGTGGAGGCCTCTGAGACTGGGAGTGGGGGGACTGGCCGGTGTTGAACTCAAGGGAGGGCATTTGGTGACCACATAGATACAGCCTTGCCTGCGTGTGCACAGGACACCTTTGGATGAGACCACTAAAGGCCAGCAGTGTTTGGAGAAATCCCTTTGCCTTTAGAATTTGCTCATGGAAGGAGCAGCAGGCCTGGCCCTCAGATGTCCCTCAGGGCCTCCCCCTAGCCCAGGATGCTGGCCTGGTGTGGCACTGATGGTGCTGGGATTTCCAAAGCCCCCATGGAGACCCTCAGGAGGGAGCGAAGGGAAAGGTGGGGTGTTAGAGGCTGTCCCATGTGCCCCGCCTGGGTGGCCCTCCCAGGAAAGAGAAAGCCCTCAGTGGGCTGGAGCTCAGCAGGTGGGGCCTGGTTCTGTCCTTTTCTTTATGGCCCAGGGCAGGTGGGCTGGCTGACCCCTCCCCGCAGGCCCGTGAACCCCCCCGCTGTGGGGGACCCAGGGTCGCAGGGCCATGGGCTCACCCTTCAGTGGGATCTGTGTCCCCTCCAGGATGAAGGTCTACGTGCCCACGGGCTTTGCTGCCTTCCCTTGTGAGCTCATACACGTGCCCCAGAAGTGGCTCAAGTTCAAGTACCCGAAACTCATCTCCTATTCCTACATGGCCCGTGGGGGCCACTTCGCCGCCTTTGAGGAACCGGAGCTGATGGCCCAGGACATCCGCAAGTTCGTGGGGCAGGTGGAGCAGCAGTGAGGCCCAGGGACTGACCGCCGCCTGGGGAAGATGCCCCGTTTCTGCAATGAGTTTGCTCCCCGCCCCCGCCCATGCCGGGAGCCCACGCTCACCGCGCCCCCTCCACACACCCTCCCCCCCGTGTTCAGCGACATGGCTTCAATAAATGATCTTCCTTCTAAGAGTGGCCGGACCAGGCGACATGCGCGCGCCCTGACTCCACGCGGGGCTCCTCTTCCAGAGCGGAGCTGGCAGGTCTGTCCCGTGCTGGGGAGGGGTCGGCGCCCTGCTGTCCCTCCTCCCAGGCCAGGGTAGGAGGGACCACGCTGCACCCCCACGGGACTGATGGCGCCGCCTGTCGCCGCCCGAGCCTCTGGCGCCCCCTGGAGGCAGCGGGAGGAGGCTTCTCGGGCTAAAGTCCTACGTTGCGCCCCAGCTCTGGGAGGGAACGGCGGGGCTGCCCGCCCTCCTGCCGGGGTCATAGGTCAAGGGCGGCGGACAGCCCTGCACCCAGCCCCGCCTCTCCCTGTCCTCTGCGCCGGCCACACTCTCCCCCCTGGGAGGGGTTCCTGAGCACGGTGTGTCCCACCGGAGAGGGCGCGGGCAGATGGGGTGAGGGCTGGATGGGCGCCTGCCTGGAGGTGGCGCCCCATACCCCGGACCCTGAAGAGGCGGGAGAGGCTGGATCTCACCAATCTGGTCCAACAGGCACTTTATTAGTGGCCCTCGTTCCCCCTCCCACCGCTGCGGGGTGACCCTGACCCAGCCGCGGCGTCCCTGGCAACGCGATGCAGAACACAGACGCAAGGCGGGATGCGGGGGCGCATGCACAGCTGGCGGGAGCTGCTGCAGCGACACCGGCCACTTGGCCTCCGGCTCCCGCAGCCACTCCCGGGGCAGCTTGGAGGGGCTGCCTGCTGGGGGCAGGCTGGGTGAAGGCGCTGGACCCCCACCTAGACCCCATCTCAGAGCCGGGCCGGCCGCAGGCTCTTTGGTCAGGCGATGGTGTCCGGGAACGCAGAGAGAGGACTTCCCCTGTTCCATTCCTGCCTATTACCCCATATGGTCTCCAGGGCCAGTCTGGGGGGCAAAATTCCAACATATGAACTTGGCTACAAATCACAGGGGACATCATCCAGCTGCAGAGCTGGAAGCTTGTTGCAGGAGGGGGGACCTGGAAATGTACAGAGCCCCAGGTAAGCAAGAGAGGGTAGGGGGCTGCATGTGTCCCCCTCTCTGCTGCTGTGACCGGAAAGGAAGACCACCGCCCAATGACTCTCAGCTGGAAGGCCCAGCCCTTCCCTCTCAGCCAAGGGCCTCAGCTCCAGGCTTTTCTGGCTCCATCTTTTCAGAGCAATGGGGCTTAAAACAAATGGAAGGAGGTCATGAACTTGGTTGGGGTCGGAGTCCAGCCACTTCTCCACCTGTGTCGTCCACCTTCAGGCCTCCTGGTAGGCAGCAGCCACGCTGTCTGAAGGGCTCTGGGCCAAGTGCTGCCAAGGGAGAGTCCCACTGATGTTGTGGATGGACCCGTAGGTCTGCTGCTGCTCCGGGGACAGGGCTGTCCTCTCTGAGGCCAAGCTGTTCAGAATCCGGGGCACGTAGGGCTGTCAGCAAATGAGGGAGTTAGTGCTTGGGTGAGGGTGGGCACCTGTCCGTCCCCTCCTGCCCCTTCTTCCAGCAGGAGGACACGTACAGTGCTCATAAAGGACAACACAAAGAAATAACTGCATCAATTTAGGACGTCAGGACCCGAAACATACCAACTACAGAATTTCCCAGCAGCCAGGGCAAAACAGAAAATGCAATCAATTACGCGGTTTCTCATGATCACACAGAATGATGCACGATAGAGACGTTTCCTCTATTTCTTAGAGGACAGCAAACTTCCTAGCACTGGATTCTAGAAGAATTTCTCACCTTATGTAAGAAACATACACAGGCAGGCTTAGAATGCCGTCAGCGGGGCTTCTGGGATGCTGAATGAATCTGTGTAAGTTACGTTTTCATCCCATCCCAGGTGCCCACTGCTGATCCCGGGCACACAGCCTTGCTCCTCTGCTCCCCAGACCCACTCTGAGAATGGGGGATTTACATCATCCACCTGTCCCACCCCTGCCCCTGCCTGGCCGACAGCCCCAGGTGTGTCACTGGGTAATGAATCTTTCTAAGGACCTTCTCCTCTGGGGCTCATCCAAGGATGGACACGGATAAACGTGCCTGACACCTGGGAGGCAGCCACTGGAAAGAACACTGCTGATGAGACTGGCCTGTCAGGAAGGCCAGAGGTCACAGCTCTGGGATCCCGGGGCTCTGTTTTCCTTTCCCAGCCCCAGCCCAGGAGCAGGACCCTGGAGGCTGGATGCAGAGAGAACCAGGACGGAAAAGAGTCCTGGGGTCTTTCTCCCGTGGTGTCTTCCTCTGGGGCAGGTGTGATGTTCATTTGTGAATTCAAAGGGGAGTGTGCCTGCCACCTCTTGGCGCCTGGAGGAGGCCCTCACACAGGCAGGTGCACCGCTGGTGATAAAGCTTCACCAAACCGTGAAGCCTTTCGATGTGGCTTCACTAAGGCCCAAACTCACCAGGCATTAAATATGCAGAAAAGGAAAGTGAGGAAGAAGCTGAAACCAAGGGGGACGGGCATGCATCGTGGCAAGATTAATTATCTTCTCAGAGACTGATGTGGCTTCAAATATGCAGGTTAAAACATCCAGAGGGGGGCCGGCCTGGTGGCGCATGCTATAGTGCGCCGCTTGGGAGCGCGGCGGTGCTCCCGCCAAGGGTTCGGATCCCACATACAGACCGGCTGCTCACTGGCTGACCGAGGTGCGGGCGCGACACCGAGGGTTGCGATCCCGTTGCCGGTCACGAAAAAAGACAAAAAGGAAAAAAAAAAAAAAAAAAAAATCCAGAGGGAAAGGGTTTCCTCCTGGATTGACATAATTCAATTCATAAATTTGCCTGCCACGTGATCAAGGGATTTCCATCTTCGCAAGAGATGATCGAGCCCTATTTGCCAGGGCCCATCTGGTTGGGACCATCACACACAGCAACAGGGCCACAGGCCCCGGGGGTAAGCAGCTTACTGTGAACGATGGAGGCGCGTGGGCCTCTGCCTCGCTTCCTTTGTCACTTGCCGATTCTTCTGTCTGCAGATAACAGCCAAAACTTGCAACGATAAACAAAACTGATCTCCCTGAACTCACACCCTCCAAACAGACAGACTATTAACACCCAAAATAACAGTTCCAGCTGGCACCAAGTATTGGAGGCACCCCGAGAGAGGGTGGGGTGGGTGCAGGGAGCAAGGATGGGGTGGGGACCTACACATCACACCCAACTACCTACACCTTTCCCATGGATAACTGCAATCTGGAGAAGGCTGTTGCTGGGCTGATATGAGAAGGGGTGGGGGGAGGGGCGGGGAATGAACCCACCATCTCCTCCCAGGGCCGGGCTGGGCATGGCAGAGCAAGGTTCTTTACCTTGTAGTTCAGGGGGCTGAGGTGCTTGAAGCATCCAAAGCACGTGTAGGCAAGGCAGACCAGGATGGTAAGCAGCACGACCAGGAAGGTGAACAGGGTGGGGGGGGCCTTCAGACCTGGAGACAGAGGGATGCCAGCCTTGGGGTGGGGGGAGGGGGTGCCACCCACCCTCCCTCTGCTGAGGAAGGGGGTCTCCCCTGATGCAGGAACTGTGCGTGACTTCTCCCACCCAGCAGCCGGGATGGTGACTTCACAGCCAGGAGCACACAGAGTGACCCACTGAATGGCTAGCAGTATCCCTGGTCAGATTTCAGGCACTGGGCCACCAAGTCAATGGCAATCTGCCAGCATCCTTGCTGGGTCAGTTCCCTCCAGTCTCTGGTGCCCCAGACTAGGCAGGATGGAGGCTCCCCCAGTTTCCCCTCCTGCACCTCCCACTTCCTCCACGCTGTGGAGTGTGGGGACCTGGGCCCATCCACCACCCCCAAAGAGCAATCTGGATTAGCTTCCTCCTCTCCTCTGGATCAGTCCCCCCAGAGCTGATAAAGGGACAGTCTTCTCTCTAGGGAAGTCTGGGGAGGTCAAGCAGGCCCTCACGAGGGTTACACCTGAGCACAGGTTAGCTCACCAGCTGATGGTCAACAGACACCCAACCAGCCCTCACCCTCGGGCACCACATTCTGATTGGACACTCAACCAGCCCTCACCCTCGGGCACCACATTCTGATTGGACACTCAACCAGCCTTCACCTTCGGGTACCACATTCTGATTGGACACTCAACCAGCCTTCACCTTCGGGTACCACATTCTGATTGGACACTCAACCAGCCCTCACCCTCGGGTACCACATTCTGATTGGACACTCAACCAGCCCTCACCCTCAGGTACCACATTCTGATTGGACACTCAACCAGCCTTTACCCTCGGGTACCACATTCTGATTGGACACTCAACCAGCCCTCACCCTCA